GCTCATCCGTTGAAGATTTTCCTTAGATAGGAAAGGTTTGGGGGACCTTATGGGTAGAGACTTGACCAAAATCTTACCCGTTCGTGTGGGGATAATTTTGTTCCTTTGTACATGGAGCTGTATCTTTCTGGAGGCATTTGTCTCCTCGGCTCTTTGTTTTTCCTGCCCTCTGGCTGGGTGTCAGGGTCCTAAGGCGGGCACCTTGCAAATGAGTTCCTTTTCCATTGTCTCTCTTTCCGAACCTTGAGCCTGGAGTTTTTTTCCCTTCTTGCTGAGGTTCAGTTGATTTGGAGTTGTCATGGCAACATTTTAGCAACTGTGTTGTTCTAGGGAAGGCTTGGTGAAGAAAATAGGGAAGGGGCTTGAAAATAATACACTTGGACTTTAGGGTCTTTAACAAATGACATAAATCTGGACACACCCCAAGGCAGGAGCCCAAGGGGCCAAGTAGAATGAGGCCCAAGGGCCGAGTATGTCCTTATGGTTCAGGGAGGTTTCCCCTTCCTAGATTTGAGAACAAATTTTTTGGTACAGTATGTGGCTCAGAAGCTGGAAGAAGCACTAGCGTTCAGTGGCCCTGTGTTTTTGGTAGTGGTGGTCTAAACATGGCCCTCCTAATCCCGAAGTAGTGGCCCATCATGGTAACTTTAGTCATGATCCATCCAGATATTGTTGTTTCCACATCCTTAGCCTTAACTATAATCATCCCCTCTCCACCATGACTTGGAGCGATAATGGAGGGCGGAGGAACACTATTTGTAGCGTTACTTTTTCAACCAGCTGTAGCCCACTTCTCAGTATCAGAATGGAAGAAACGGACTGTCCTCTGTGGATTGATTGGATTGTGTTCTTGGCTGAGTCTTCATGGAACCTAGCTTCTTGAAACAGAGTCTATTCAGTTTCCTGGACTCACTGCAAACTCCCTGATTTCTATCAGGACTTAGCACTCAGGCCTGTGAGGCAGGAGATACGAAGACTTCCAAAGAAGGACCAGCTCCTCGGATGTGCCCCCTTACAGAGAGATGAAGGGGTGAGTGAAGAAGAGGTAGGGTCTGGGGCGGGAGATGGGAGGCCTGGGAGAATGCAGAATGGCTAAGAGCACTGGCTCCCGAGTTAGGCAGACCTAGATTCTGGTTTCAGCTCCATCACTTACTAGCTGCGTGATCTGGGTTCTCATCTACAAAATGCAAGTAGCGCTACTTACCCCATTGTGCTGTTCTTAATATTAAATAATGACGTGTGTTAAGTGCTTAGCTCAGTGCTATGCACGCAGTAAACACTCAGTAAATACTAGCTGTTGGTATTCTAACCTAACCCAGCATCTACTGGGGATGCCATTGAGTTTGGAAGCCATATGTTATTGGGTCAGTGAGCTTTTTATTCCCTTCTTCCCTTCTTTCTTTTGTCCTGTCACAAACAGGCAGCAGAAAACAGCTGAAGCGGAAGAGGGGACAGTGCAGATTCAGGAGGGTGAGTGGTCGAAACAGACCTGAGACCAGGAGCCCAGCCTGGCCTCTCCCCCTCCCCCCATGGGCGCATCTGCTGTGCACCCTGGTCCTTCTAAGTGACATGCAGGCGGAACAGAGGGAGAAAGGCAGTAAGTCACAGACTTTTACTTTGCTCTTTTAATTCAGGAGCAGTGGCAACTGGGGAGGACCCAACCAGTGTGGCTATTGCCAGCATCCAGTCAGCTGCCACCTTCCCTGATCCCAACGTCAAGTACGTCTTCCGAACTGAGAATGGGGGCCAGGTAAGGGAGGGGGCCAGCTGCCTGCAGGTGTTACCTGGGGTTGGGGTTGAGGGAGGTAATGAGCCTGTCAGTGGGGAGACCTGGTTTGGAGGAGGCGGTGAAGATGTGGACTTCTGAGGGGGGGGTGGGGGCATTGGGGGCAGGGCTGGGAGGAGGAGGTTTGGAGTAGAGGTTGGGGTGGGGTGCCGAGGGGTGGGGGCTAGGCTGAAACCTCTGGGGACAGAAGGGGGGATGGCTGAAGCTTTGTCTCTGAAGCACTCTTGTTTCAGGGCTCTGTCCGAGAGAAGCTTTATGAGAGGCCCGGGGTCCCCAGCATTGACTCTTGTATTCTCTCTCCCCACCTTTCCCTTTCCTCGCTGCTTCTAGGTGATGTACAGGGTGATCCAGGTGTCTGAGGGGCAGCTGGATGGCCAGACTGAGGGGACTGGCGCCATCAGTGGCTATCCTGCCACTCAGTCCATGACCCAGGTGCCAGGGCCTGGGCTGGGGAGGGAACTGGAGCAGCGAGGAGTAAGATGAAGCTGAACCCGTGAGATGGGGGTGGAGCTGGGGGTGGCGTGAGGCATCTGGGGCTGCCTTGTCTCAAGGCACTAGGTTTTCCCTTTCTGGATGTTTCTCCCTCCTTCCCCCCAGGCATAGAAGCTGCAGAGTAGCTCAGTGGGAAGTATCTGACTGTCCCTGGACTCTGTCCTGTTGTTGCCCTTCCCAGGCGGTGATCCAGGGTGCATTCACCAGTGATGATGCAGTTGACACAGAGGGCACAGCTGCCGAGACGCACTATACTTACTTCCCCAGCACTGCAGTGGGAGATGGGGCAGGGGGTGCCACATCAGGGGGTACAGCGGCTGTTGTTACCACCCAAGGCTCGGAGGCACTGCTGGGGCAGGCGACCCCTCCCGGCACTGGTGAGCTTTGTGAGGGTGCTAGCCGGAGGGGCTAGGATCGGCCGTGGGACATGGCTGGGGGCGGTGGGCCTTTCCCATGACCCCTTAATGCTCACTAAGACCTGGGCAGCACTGAGCCTGAGCCTGCCCTTCCAGCAGGAGGAAGTAGCCTCCCTTTTTAGAGGAGGAGCCTAGGACCTTGGCCTCCGAGCCTGATGAGGTTCCTAAGTCCCATGTCCTGACACAACCTACCCTGCATCTTCACAGGACAGTTCTTTGTGATGATGTCACCACAAGAAGTGTTGCAAGGAGGAAGCCAGCGCTCCATTGCCCCCAGGACTCACCCTTATTCCCCGTGAGTAGGCCCCGGTTCTTCTCAGTTGCCATGGTGGGTCCTGATCCTTGCCAAGTCCTGTGTCGATCCTTACCCCAACCTCCAATCTTATTTTTTTTATCCTTCCCTTACTCCGGCCACCCTGGGCTCTGTTGTCAGGAAGTCGGAAGCTCCCAGGACAACTCGGGATGAGAAGCGCAGGGCTCAGCATAACGAAGGTAGGTATTATTTGGTGGGATTGGGGACAGCGGTGGTGTCTGAGCGGGAGAGCTTAGGTAGCTCTACAGGGTCTGTGGTTGAGTTCTCATTGAGTCACCCCGTCCTCCCTTTTGCCCCACAGTGGAACGCCGCCGCCGAGACAAGATTAACAACTGGATTGTGCAGCTGTCCAAGATCATCCCAGACTGCTCCATGGAGAGCACCAAGTCTGGCCAGGTCATGGCAAGACCCTGGTAGTGGGCAGGATGCCTGAATTCTGTCTCCTGATATTGTTTCCAGAAATAGTAGAGAGGGCACACATGGCAGTAATCTTTGCTTATCTTTCTCTGAGGTTCCTGTATCCTTGTGAAATGTTCTACCACATTTTACCCTTAGGGGAAAATGAGGTCCAAAGTGTGTGCTTTGGGAAGGCAAGCCAGGTGTCACCTATTTTAGTCCTCATTTTGTTGGCCTTCTCTTGCAGAGTAAAGGTGGAATTCTGTCCAAAGCCTGTGATTATATCCAGGAGCTTCGACAGAGTAACCACCGGTTGTCTGAAGAACTGCAGGGGCTTGACCAGCTGCAGCTGGACAATGATGTGCTTCGACAGCAGGTCAGACCCCTCCTCATTCCAGCCCTCCTCAACTCCATGGCCAGTGAGCCAGTGAGGGATGCCTGCCTCTGGTTTCCACGGAGGGGGCTTCATCTTTTCCCCTCACTAGCGATGTGTGAATGTGGTGTGGGATCTGGCCACGCCAGCTTGTCTGCTCACTCTCTCCACGGCCTCCTTTCCATGCCAGGTGGAAGATCTGAAAAACAAGAACCTGCTGCTCCGAGCTCAGCTGCGGCACCACGGAGTCGAGGTTGTCATCAAGAATGACAGCAATTAACTGTGGGGACCTGGGGGCTTTGGGCCCTACCACCCCTTTCTGAGAACTGCACATAGCCCAGGAGCAACAGGCTAACCCCGTGCCCCTTTCCTTCACTGCCCGCTTCTGGCGGGGGACCAGGGGGAGCTGAGAAGGCGTGGCTTTGACCCGAGGCCCTGTGGCAGAGCCACCTGCGGTGGTGTGAAACACACCCTTGGGTGCGCGCTGACAGCCTGGCCCGGCTCCACCACGCAGCCCCCCCGGGCCCTTGTACTCTTGCAGATGCATGTGCTGTCTCCGTGCTGGATACCGGACCCAGGCAACGTGGGGGCTTGCCCTGTGCTTGCTGAGAGGGCCGGCAGAGGGTCTGCTCACAAGCCATGGTCTGGCTTGCCCCGGGGCTCTGGCGCTGCCCCTGGTTCTTCCTTACCCCGGAGCTCAGATGTGCACTCGGGGACTGTGGGCATCAGGCTTTAGCGACAAGTGGGGAACAGGATACCTAGCAATGGGTGGCTGCTGCCGCGGGAAGAGATCGGCGGGCAAGGAGCTAAGGCCTGTGCAGAAGTCTCTGGAGCCAGGGAGGACAACATATGGGCCCACATGGGGCCTTCCCCTTGTGGGGATGGTTTTTCCTCTCCTTTTTCTTTCTTCCTTTACTTTTTTTTTTTTTTTTTTTTTTTTAAAGATAAAACGTTCAGAGCCACTGTTGTCACCTGGTTTTCCTTTTGTGGGCCCTGGGGCAGGAGGGAGGGAGGCGCATTGCACTTTGCCCAGTAAGGGTTGGGCCAAGGTTAGGGTGGGGTGCTGCTCCTGTGTTCCTTACCCTGAGTGCCGGTGCCTAGGCCAGACCAGTTTGCCCGCCGGCGCTGGGCAGTCGGCGCTGGGCAATCGCAAGAATTTCCCTGGCGAGCGGGTATCAGCGAACAGGTGCTGCGGGGGCGGGGCGGGAGGCGGTGCCTTCGCTTCCGGTTCCGGTCCCGGCTCCGCGAGGGCGGGGGAGATGCTGCCGGCACCGAGGAGGCGGCTCGGGGGTGCATTCCTGCGGCTCGCCGAGGCGGCGCGCACCATGGCTGGAGGTACCTGCAGGGAGAGACCTGGGACCCCGTCCCGTCCTACCTGCGGCCCGCCCTGGGAGCGCGTGGAGCCCCCGGGAGGTGTGGCGGGGGGGCGTGGCTCAGGTCCGCTCGGCCCCGCTCCCGGGCTGGGGCGCTGCCAGGTGGAGGGGCGCCGCGCGGCAGTGCCGGGCAGCCCGCTCGGCTCAGGGCTCTCGTGCCTCCTTCCTCAGCGCCCACGGTCTCGCTCCCTGAACTGCGTTCGCTCCTGGCCTCCGGCCAGGCCCGGCTCATCGATGTGAGATCTCGGGAGGAGGCGGCAGCGGGGACCATCCCGGGGGCGCTCAACATCCCGGGTATGGGACAGAGGGGACGCCCGCGCGGGTGGCCTAGAGGCCGTCCAGGAGGGGCTCCTAGGGCGGCGTGGGGAAAGCACGGTCGAGGGGGTCCTGTATTCCTCTGAGCCCCCCACCCCAGCTTGCTGGAGAAGGGCTGGTGGGAGGCGGATCCTGGCGGCGGAACTGGCCCTTCCAGTTCGAGCGGATGGCAGGCGGCGAGGAAGGGGCGGACCCGCTTTTCTACGCTTGACCTCTCCCCCCACCCCCGTGGGGTACCCCCCCCCCCCGCGCCGCTCCTCCTCGCTGTTGGGGAGGTGGCTCCCGTTCAGCTGTTTGGCTGCCTTCCTGCGCAGGTGGGCCTGTCTGGCCCTTGAGGTTGGAGGGGAGGGGGAGTGGTCACCGAATGTTGTTTTGGGGCCCTCTGGAGATTTGTTCCGGGCCCCAGGACCCAGTCCTTCCAGGCCCGGTCTGAACCTGCTATCGCCCACTGCTGACTTTGCATTCTAACCCCGCGACTCCTCCCAGTGTCTGAGTTGGAAAGTGCCCTGCAGATGGAGCCCGCTGCTTTCCAGGCTTTGTACTCCGTGGAGAAGCCGAAGCTGGAAGAGGAGAACCTCATTTTCTTCTGTCAAATGGGCAGGCGGGGCTTGCAGGCCACGCAGCTGGCCCAAGGCCTTGGATACACCGGGTATGGGGAAGGTGTGGGGCGCTAGCTGGGGGAGGGACTGGGGACTGCCTCTCGGGCCTGTCCTTCCTCACCCCCTTTGTCTCCACAGGGCTCGCAACTTCGCAGGAGCCTATAGAGAATGGTCCCAGAAAGAAGGTTAGGTAGAAAGTGGCTGACTTACTGCCCTCTCTCCCTCGGCCCCATGGCCGCCTTAACTAAGGGTGGTGAAGGGGCTGACTCCTCAGGTTGGGTAAGCTCCTTATAGTGCTGCGCATGCAAAAGCATCAAATAAAGAGCATTTAGTCAAAATACTGGAAGCACTTAATTTGTCAGGTGGACTGCACAGAGTCCTAATCTTAATCTAGACTTCAGTTCAGCCATGGGTCCTTCTCCATTCGTCTGTCCCCCACCCTGCACCCTCCACTCCCACCCCCAAAACTCCAGCAGTTTCCTGAGACTGTGATTCTCCTTCTAGAACAATTGTGTGTGTGTATTTTTTAAAAAGATTTTATCTATTTATTTGAGAGAGGAACGAGAGCACAGAAAAGAGGGAGAGAGAGAAGCAGACTCCCCGCTGAGCAGGGAGCCCGATGTGGGGCTGGATCCCAGGACCCTGAGATGGTGACCTGAGCCAAAGGCAGGCGCTTAACTGACTGAGCCATCCAGGCGCCCCTAGAACAATTGTTTTCAGCCCAGGATACACATCAGAATCATCTGGTACCTAAAAACAAACAAAAAAATGTTTGGGCCCTCTCCCAGATTTGGAATCCTGGGGGTGGGACCTGGGTAGTAGTGGTTTTATGAGCCTTTGAAGTGAATCTGATGTGCAGTCAGGAGCCAGGCCCACTGCTCCGGAGGTCAGCAGACAGGCCTCGCTTGGTTGGCCTTGTGCCATGACTGTTCCTTTACATACTGTCTATGGCTGCTTTTGTGCAAAAAATGACAGAATAGTGTGACAGGGACTGTGTGTCCTTCAGATCCTAACATTTTTATTATCTAGTCCTTTCTAGACATGGTTTGCCTGCCCTTGCCCCAGACCTTCAGGTCCCCAGCCCAACCTCACCTCCCTGAGACTTTGTCACTGGCTTTAGCAAATGAAAGGGCGGTGCCCAGCGGTGAGTGATGGATGTCACTCTTCATGCCCACAGGTGTGTCAAACGTAGATTGCAGGTATGGGGACTTCGGCGCCACCAAAGATAGGCCCCAGTTTTTATCAACACTGTTCTTTTTTTTTTCTTTTAAGATTTTATTTATTTATTTGAGAGAGAGAGAGCACAAGTAGGCAGAGCGGCAGGCAGAGGGAGAGGGAGAAGCAGGCTCTCCCCCAAGCAAGGACCCCGATGTGGGGCTTGATCCCAGGACGCTGGGATCATGACCTGAGCCGAAGGCAGCCGCTCAACCAACTGAGCCACCCAGGCGCCCTCAGCACTGTTCTTTGATCCAACACTGGATTGAACAAAATTTAATTGATAAAATGAGAAAGCTCATGCTTGCTGACAAAATTCATCACTACCCAGTAGGTGTGTAACTTCCTTCTAGTATGGGGTATAGTTCGATGCATATCTTTCCAGACCTTTTACATGTTTTCACATCAGAGCTCTGACTTCTTAGGTTTGGTATTTGAAGCTTTTATTCCTTGAGGTGCCCGGCTGGCTCAGTCCATAGAGCATGAAACTCTTGATCTGGGGATTGTAAGTTCGAGCCCCATGATGGGTGTAGAGATTACTTTCAAATAAAATCTTTAATAAATAAATAAATTCTTACTTTCAAATAAAATCTTAAATAAATAAATAAATAAAATTCTATTCCTTTATTTGTGAAAGAGAAAGTTGGGTCGCAGATGGACCCAATTTTCTGAATTTTCAAGTTTCTGGAGAAATCCCTTCAGACATAGCTTGCATTCCTTGCCTTTCTCTCCCCTTCTTCCTCCTGGACCGGAGGACCTAGGCCCCCCTCCCCCATCTTTTATGTCACAACCCACCCTGCACTGTCACAAAATCTGCTGTTCGCCTGGGCTGTGCAGGTCCTCTGTCACGGCTCTCCCATCCTCCCCCTGGGCGAACCACAGCACAATGCTGTGAACTTATCTGGGTAGTGCTAGGTCTGCAGATAAATCGAAATATGTGATTCTAGGCCAAGGTTTGGCAAATAGTAGATGTCTGTACTTTCCTCAAATACCCACATCCCTTTGGTTTTCAGACTGGTTCAAGTTTTTCCTGGGGTCTAATTTCTCTCTTTGTTTGCATCTTAACTGTTCTAGCCTTTTTTTTTTTTTTAAGATATTTTTTATTTGGGGCGCCTGGGTGGCTCAGTCGGTTAAGCAACTGCCTTGGGCTCAGGTCATGATCCCGGAGTCCCGGGATCGAGTCCCGCCTCGGGCTCCCTGCTCGGCGAGGAGCCTGCTTCTCCCTCTGGCCCTCACGCCTCTCATGTACTCTCTCTCTCATTCTCGCTCTCTCAAATTAATAAATCTTTAAAAAAAAAGATATTTTTTTTTTGTTTATTTGACAGACAGAGAGCATAGGTAGGCAGAGGGGCAGGCAGAGGGAAAGGGAGAAGCAGGCTTTCTGCTGAGCAGGGAGCCCGATGCGGGGCTCGATCCCAGGATCCTGGGACCATGACCTGAGCCGAAGGCGGTCACTCAACCGACTGAGCCACCCAGGCGCCCCTATTCTAGTCTTTTTTTTCCCCCCTCCTCAAGTATTATAATTTGATTATAGCATTTCTTTTCTTTCTTTCTTTTTTTTTGGAAGCATACTTTTCCTACAATAAAATGCACAGTTAAGTGTTCAGTTCATTGAGTTTTGACAGTTGTATGCTCACTTGTGACTACCATCCTGATAAGATCTAGGACTCCAAAATCCCCAGAATTTTTCTGGGGCCTCCTTCCATTCAGTTCCATCCTTAATCTTTCCTTTTTTTTTTTTTTTTAAGATTTTACTTATTTATTTGAGAGAGAGAGAGAATGAGAGATAGAGAGCACGAGAGGGAAGAGGGTCAGAGGGAGAAGCAGACCCCCCGCCGAGCAGGGAGCCCGATGTGGGACTCGATCCCGGGACTCCAGGATCATGACCCGAGCCGAAGGCAGCCGCCTAACCAACTGAGCCACCCAGGCGCCCCGGTTCATAATTTTGATAGCTGTTCCATCCCATTACTTTGCCCTGTAAAGTTCTTCCCTTTCCTCATCGCTGTTTTGGCAGGTGAGGCTGGGGAGCCCGAGTCTACCAGCAGCCCGTGCTCTTGCCTTCTCTGCCTTTCTTTCCAGACTACATTGGCCTCTTCAGACTTTGTCTGCAGCAGGCTGTGTTGCCCATATACTCGTGTCATACCCACCACTCAACATTTTTGTTGTTATCCCTTCCCAGTTGATTTGAGCTCTTCAAAGGCAGGAACCGGCTTTGCAGTCCCTGACCAGTGGTGCCCCAGAGGAACAACACAAATTCTCCGTAGGTGCTTGTTGAGCCTCGCCAGCCTGCCAACTTCCAGAATCTTATAATTTCAGCCTTTTTGAAACATTGCTGCCTGAGCCTGGCTGTCTCAGTCAGCAGAGCATGTGACTCCTGATCTCAGGGTGGTGAGTTCAAGACCAACGATGGGCGTAGAGCTTACTTAAAAAAAGAGAGAGAGAGAGAGAGAGTTGATTTCTTGGGGCGCCCGGCTGGCTCAGTCGGTGGAGCATGTGACTCTTGATCTCGGGGTTGTGAGTTTGGGCCCCACATTGGGTGTAGTGATAACTTAAAAATCATAAAAAGAAAAAGAAAAAATTTAAAAATAACATTTTTATCTTATCAGTCAGAGTTGATCATTTATAATAAGTCCTTGTTGTCTAGTGGCCCAGGCCCTTGTTTCGGCCTGGCCTTTTTAAGCAATCTGTAGCCCGAATCTGGCGTCACCCTGCCTTTCCAAACTTCTCATTCTGTGCCTGCCGCCACCAGCCTGGTTTCTTTAGTGGCATAAGTAGACTCCGTTCCCTCCTGACCCTGGCACTTGCTCACCATTTCCCCTGTTTGGGAAGCTTCCAGTCTCTTTTGTTATTACTCCGAATTTCACAAGAATTAGAAGAATGTATTTGGCAGGACACTTGCTATCCTCATCCAGAGGGCTTTTAAACTGAAGAAAAAGGGAGAAAAATAACCAGATAATATTATATAACTGGCTTCCATGAAGGGCAGGAAAACCAGGAGAACAGGGGATAAGGTACACACTTACCATGCTGTCTTATAACTTGAATGGCTCTTCACCTTGCTGATTTCCTTTTTGTATGGCCAACAACTCCACCAGGACCTGGCTTATAGGCGTTACTTCTGCAGATGTGGAATTTTTGTTGAGGTGTTTAGTAATTCTCAGGGAGAAAAATGCAAGGGGAGAGAGTTGGGAAAAATACTTATGACAGGTAGCAGGTTATGATGTAACAAGCAAAGGCTACAATAGTGGTCACCACCAGTTACTTTTTAACTATCCCAACTATCTGTAAAATGGTGGTTAAAAGACATCTCTTTGGGGCATCTGGGTGGCTTATTTGTTAAGCGTCTGCCTTCTGCTCAGGTCATGATCCCAGGGTCCTGGGATCTAGCCCCACATAGGGATCCCTGCTCAGCGGGAAGCCTGCTTCTCCCTCTCCCACTCCCCCTGCTTGTGTTCCTGCACTTGCTGTGTCTCTCTCTGTCAAATAAATAAATAAAATCTTAAAAAACAAATAAAAAATAAATAAAATAAAATCTTAAAAAAAAAAGGTTCAGTTGTCAGATTTCCCAGTGGGATATCCTTCCCACTGATTCATTCTGCTTCTATTCCCATTCCTAATCATTCCTCAACCTATCAAGTCATCCAATTCATTGACCTTACCAAAATTTTGCTATTTATTATTTTACTTACACCTCTGTTTTCCTCATAATCCAGTAGCTTCTATGCATGGTTCATCGTTATCTCATTCCTTTGTATAAGTAGGAATCAACTTATCAAGAAAGTTCAAGGGGTGGAGCGCCTGGGTGGCTCAGTTGGCTAAGCGACTGCCTTGGGCTCAGGTCATGATCCCTGAGTAGTGCCACATCGGGCTCCCGGCTCAGCGGGGAGCCTGCTTCTCCCTCTGACCCTCTCCCCTCTCATGCTGTTTCTCTCTCTCTTTCTCTCAAATAAATAAATAAATAAAATCTTAAAAAAAAGAAAGAAAGTTCAAGGGGCACCTGGGTGACTCAGTCGGTTAAGCATCCAACTCTTGATTTCAGCTCAGGTCATGATCTTGGGGTGGTAGGATCAAGCCGGTGACGGGCTCTGTGCTCTCTGTACGGAGTCTACTTGAAATTCTCTCTCT